CAGCCGTGAGGGCCTGGTCCTCGTGCTGCAGAGCATGTGCCTGCAGAGGCAGGGGGGGCTGGGCTGCCTGACCACCACAGCCCCCTCTGACTGGAGACGCCAGGATGCCCGTGGGCAGTGGCTCCAGGGACTGGAAATGTCCGCGCTGCCGGGACCGACCCGGTCAGCAGTACACTCAGCACACCACGATCTGCTGCTGCATCCCGGTGTGGAACTGGGAGCAACGTTCCGTACCCGCCTCCAGTCCTGATGAGGTGGGGGACCCGGGAGGACCATAGGGACAGAGGAGCCCCATCCCAGCTCCTCCGGAGCCTCTGTGCTGAGGAGCAGGCAAGCTCCTGACGCTCACACCTGCCCGGGCTCCTCTACCAGCACGGCGGTGGCCTCTGGTTTCAGACCAGGCGAAGTAAGTGTCTGCAGCCAGTGCTCAGAGCACATGCTGGCTGGGGGTGGGGGGCAGCAGGCACCCCACACCCTCTTGTCTTCAGCCCACTGGAGCCGAGAACGGTGGTGCCCTTGCTGAGCAGGGCATCGGTCAGTTGGAAGCCACTGAAGATGGGGTGCCTTTTCAAGCCTTAGTAGTCGGGACTCAGAGGCAGGCCTGGCTGTTGCCACGGCCTGCTGGGTTTATGGCTGTGTTGCGTATGCAGGAGAACGCGAGGGCTGCCACTCCTGAGCCATGATGCGAGGGTGCGGCCTAGCCCAGCCTGGGCTTCCAGGAGCCCACCTGGTCAGTGAGGACCCACCATGTCATATGGAAAAGAGGCCAGCCCTGGAAGCAGCCAGCAGTCCATGTCCTGGCCCAGTGCCATCCACACTATCTGACCTCAAAAAAGTCACTTCTCTTCGGCACTAAATTTCCCCACCAGTAAAAGGCAGGCAGAGCCTTTTACACCTGCCTTCTCCTTGGCCCCCAGGGACCAGGCAGGCCTGAGTCCAGAGAAACGACCATATTCTAGCCACAGCTGGGAGCTTTGCACCATCTCAGAAAAGGGAGAGAGGAGAAAAGGCAGGGCCCGGCTGTTTCGCAGACTCACCGATCCATCTCATCAGAGAGGTGAGGATCTGCAGGTACTTGGTCTTCTGGACGTCAAAGAAGGTGAAAGGTCCGAGGAGGAGAGTGAAGACAGCCTGGGAGATGGAAGCGGCAGTGAGGATGTGCAGAGGCCGGGGAGCACACCGCGGGTCCGCAGCTAAGGCCTGGTCCTGTCTCGATGTACCCCTGGACTGTGGAGCTCCGAGGGGTCACACACTACCATCCTGGGAGCGTGCAGAAGAAACACCAGCTATGGCGCCCGGCCCTCACCACTTACTGGGAAGAGATGACACGGGGAGGGGACATGGAAGCGTGGACATAGCAGCACAGCAGGGAGGACTCTGTGGGGCTTGGAGAAAAGGATTAATCAGGATCTTGTTACTCAGCCACGTTTTCCATGTGAAGAGAAGCGCAGAGAACAAGAGCCAGTGGCTTCCAGGGCAAATACGTGGAGAGGTACCCTGGACTGAGGAGGAAGCGGCTGCGACTGGGAAGACGGGGGTGTGCGGGTTGGAGGTGGGGGTGGCCTGGTCAGAGAAGCGGGCGCTGGGCCCCCCCGTTCCTTTGTCTCTGGAGAATAGACAAAACCAAAACCTCAAACCCTGTCTCAGAAAACCGGCATATGGGACCAGCAGCTGGTGTAATGGCTATGTCACTGGACTCCCATGTAGTCTACCATGGTTCAAGTCCTGGACCCGGTGGCTTAAACTCACACCGGGTGCGTGTGTGTGTGTGCCCAAGATCCCGAGAGGAGAAGGGATTACAGCGTGGCCATCCCCCATGGGGGGTGAGTTCTCACTTTCTGTCTCTCCATGTCTTTCTGGAAAGTACACATGCCGTATAACAAAAACGTCTCTATTAAAAATTGAAAACAAAAAAAGAAAGAAAACCGGCGTGTGGGCCATTTGAGCCGTCATCCAGGCGGTTCTGGGGACACGTGGCACAGGGAGGCTGGGAAGGAGAGCAGGTTAGGATCTCCATGCCAAATTGGCTGCTCAGGGAGCGGAGGAATTAAAGACTGCTCGCTGGAGTTCAGATGATGGTACCATTTCCAATCTGCCACTCGGAAGCGCCGGGCCTTATTAACATTTACACTGCCGTTTTAGCATGCTCGCGCTAATGACACTCACCGGTGATGCAGCAGACAGCTTGGGAGCCGCAGCCTGAGAGGGAGCGAGCGAGCGAGCATGGGGACAGGGGCCCACCCTGGGGACCAGGCTCCGGCCCTGCGACCCTGTGATCTGGGTGACTCCATCACTCCATCACAGCTGCTGAGCCGAGCCTGGGGCCGTCCCCCATGACAGGCAGGCAAGAGCTGCGCAGAGGGGGGCCCCGGCCCGCCCCCGCCCCCCTCTGCGAGGAGAGCAGGATGTGGGAGAAGCTGTGACCTCTTGTCTGAGTCCATTATCGCTGTGAGAGTGAGTGACACGAGACTAAAGTGCTGCTTAAAGAAAAGGCTCTAATTAGCCGGGGTGGGGAAGGCGTCCTGGCAGTCACAGGCTGGTTCTGGAAGGAGGGACAGTCCTGCTGCTATTCAGGAGAGGGGGAAGGAAACGCCGTCCCACCCCCCGGGGGGGCGCAGGGAGGGGACCCCTTTGCAGAAGGGGCAGCTCGCGTCCATGCCCTTGCCGGCCCAGGAGAGGAGCCGGGGACGGGGCATGCAGTCGGCGGCTCCTGGGGCAGCCTGTATGCAGCACGCCGGCACGTCGTTTAGGAAAATTACCACTCAGGGGAACTTTCCACTGATGGTGAGAGAGACGCCAGGTAGGAGGACAAACACAGCCGCCTGCCACCGTGTTTCCAAGTGACCGTGGCCTGCGGGATCAGGGCTCCCGTGTGCCGGGTGCCAAGGTGGGTCACCTCTGACCTGCACTGCCTCTGGTGGTAGGTGCCAGAAACCTCCAGAGGTGGCTCAGAGGGGAGTCAGATCTCTGAAGCCTGAAGACTGGTTTTTAGAAGGTTCCACTGCATAAAACAGAGGGTGGCAGGTCTGGTGGGCAGAGAATTTTGTGCCTGCAGGTTGCCCTGGCTTGTCCCCCGGGAGCCCGTTCTCAGATGAGTTCACGCTCACCCTCCTCCAAGGTGGATACGCTGTCATGATGCAGCACGCACCCCGTAAGACCCTGGAGGACGGAATCCCAGCCCCAAGGGCATCCCTGTTCAGACAGACCCAGCAGACACACTCCACAGGCAGAGTGAGGTGTCCATGTGGGATGCCAAACGCGTGACGGAGAATATGATCCCAGAGGCGTCAGAGTGAGGGTCCACGCCACTCTGTTCTCAGAGTGGTGATAGGCAGTGAAAGGCTTTTTTGAAAAATCTGCCTGCAGCTGTGACTCTCACAGCTGGAGGGTGGCAGAGATGTGGCTTTGGGAGCACAGACCAACCACGCCACCCAGGAAGGTTCAAGGCCCACTCGGACACGGCAGACACACAGACTGCCAAACAGCAGCCCTTCTGTGGGGCCGCCAGCTCCCACGTCAGAGGGAGCCCAGATGAAGACGCAGCTCAGGAGCGGGGCTTAATTAAGGAACAGGTGTCCTCTGCAAATGAGTTAGAGCCAGGACTCAGCAACTGCAGGGGCAGGCATCCAGAGTGACAGAGGACAGAGGACAGGAGTGGTGGCGCATGCTGGCATGCCACGGTGTGGCTGCGAGGTCTTTGGGAAGAAATGGGGGCAGGAGAAGGGACAGCCCCTGGTCCCAATGGCCTGGCAGGGACTGAGTCCACCTCTGAATACTCAATAACCAAACGCGGGGCTGATGTTTCCCTTTGCTTTTTAAAAACGAAGAAATGAAAAGCCCAGAGACAGCCTATCCTCTTGGGTCCCCCAGTCTAGCCCGTACGACATTATAAATTAGCCTGAGGTGTGCTCCGCCCCCAAATGCCATTGATCAGTTCCAACTCGGTCTCTGTTCAAGGACTCTTGTGCCCGACTCATGACAGGAGGCACGGACACCAGCGGCTGCAGCCAAAGGCATTTCTTAAGAGGAAGAAAGAAAGAAAAAGAAAGTACAACTCCTTGATTTCTAATGAAGTCTTCAAACCGGTCACTGGGAATGGAGTCCGAGACAGACCAGCGAGGGTGCAAACGGGGCCGTGCGAGTCTCTCTGTTTCTGGGTCAGCGCTCAGATGTGCACTGGGGGCCCCATGGCAGCTCCGGCTGCGTCTGGATGGAGACAAGGCAGCTCATGTTCCCAAGGCACTGCGGGCAGGGCTTGGCCACGGCCGTCTGAGAACGTTCCGGAGCCCACAGCCCAGCAGGCTGCCTGTGTGCCCGCTGGCCTGTCAGAGCAAGTGCACGACCGCTCTGGCCACTCAGGCTCTGGCCTCTAGCAACCTCGGCTCCTTCCTCGCTGTGTCAGGATCCCGCGGCTGCTGTAACAAGTGAGCGCCAACTGGCGGCTTTGAGCCATAGAGGTGCATTCTCTCCAGGCCAGAGGTGGGAGCCTGGCGGGGTGTGCTCCAGGAGCACTGAGCACAGCGCCCTCCACCCCCAGGAAGGAGCTGAACCCCGCACAGGCATCGAGAGTGGGGACGGCAGGGATCAGCCCCGTGTCTCAGCCTCTGCCAGAAACGAGGCCTGAGCGCCAGGAGAGCAAGGAACGAAGACGGCCCCTACTCTAAACGCCAGCGCTGTCACAGGGACAGGAAGGAAACCTACTCTTTAGAACCAGAGACTGGAAGACGTGGGGAAGGGCCTGGGAGCCTCCCAGGGCTGGTGTGGGCTGTGCAGGAGGGTTCCCTGGATGGCATGTGCTTGGCTGAGGGCCGGCAGTACCTGCTCACTAGGCCGGCCTCGGTCACTAGCTGGAGCCCACACTGTCTTCAGAGGGGCCCGGAGCGGCCCCAACAGCCAGTGGCCCAGCTGTGGGGCTGGCGGAGCCACAGCTGGGAGCTTTGCACCATCTCAGAAAAGGGAGAGAGGAGAAAAGGCAGGGCCCGGCTGTTTCGCAGACTCACCGATCCATCTCATCAGAGAGGTGAGGATCTGCAGGTACTTGGTCTTCTGGACGTCAAAGAAGGTGAAAGGTCCGAGGAGGAGAGTGAAGACAGCCTGGGAGATGGAAGCGGCAGTGAGGATGTGCAGAGGCCGGGGAGCACACCGCGGGTCCGCAGCTAAGGCCTGGTCCTGTCTCGATGTACCCCTGGACTGTGGAGCTCCGAGGGGTCACACACTACCATCCTGGGAGCGTGCAGAAGAAACACCAGCTATGGCGCCCGGCCCTCACCACTTACTGGGAAGAGATGACACGGGGAGGGGACATGGAAGCGTGGACATAGCAGCACAGCAGGGAGGACTCTGTGGGGCTTGGAGAAAAGGATTAATCAGGATCTTGTTACTCAGCCACGTTTTCCATGTGAAGAGAAGCGCAGAGAACAAGAGCCAGTGGCTTTCCGGGCAAATACGGGGGGAGGAACC